GTCGAAACCATGAGACGATTATTAAGGTACGTTACAGTCCGCGTTCCACCACGGGGCTTCGGTGGCTTTGCGACAGAAGCGATTTTCAACAATTTGTAGATTGTTCAAGATCACTGGGTTCGCGAACTCTTAAACAAAGACTCAACTATTTAACGATAGGGTAAATCTGATTTAAAATATATATCATGTTTTTATTAAAATACCTTTTCTATGGATATTTTTACTAGGTACCTATCTATTGTCACATAAACGTAATTTGAACTCAAATAAGAAGGTAAATATTCAAAATCTTTAGATTAGTTTTTTTAACTATGTCCCGCTTTCGACGAAAGTATCCCGCTTTTTTCACTCAAAAAGTTCCTGGCATCCCTGACTTGGCAAAAAGATAACTGGCAGAGTGTGTGTGTGCCCCCAGGCCAGAAGCTGGGTACGCCCATGTACAATATGGTTTTAAAAATCTATACATATAATAAAATGGTAGGAAAGTCAAAACTGTACATTGAATATTTTTTTTAAAAAAATACTTGGGGTGTGATGTACATTCGATACCGAAGCCAAAAATATAGTTTTTAGAATTTTTGTCTGTTTGTCTGTATGTTTGTCCGGGATAAACTAAAAAAAGTACTGCATGGATTTACTTCAAATTTGGCACGAATATTATCGGAAGAAGTTGGGTCAACATATAGGTTACACCTTATTATCACGCTGTCACCTACGGGTAACGAGCAGTGAACCTTTATTTCTAACCAACTCCACGCGTACGAAGTCGCGGTCGGCCGCTAGTAATAGTAATATTTAGATTATGTGTATAAAAAAAATACGTGTCTAATGCTTTTTGAATGAAGAAAAATGATCCCTATTAAAGGAAGTCCACCGCTCCCAATATCATATTTTGATTGACAACAGAGAAAAGATTTAACTCTATTTTAAGAGAAGTGTGAAGAACCATTTTTTGCGGGCCGGCAAGATGAGGATGGTTGGTGTGGCAGTTTATAACTGCTGCACTTAACATCAGATGGGGTAGAGTCATTTGCCTACCTAGTTATATAAAAAAACAGTGTCAAAAGCACCTCGTATATAAAACCGCTTTCGCTTATCGCAACAAGTCCGCATTGTCCACGAAGGCCGCCAAGTACCGCCCCTGCGACTTTGAATTCTTATATGAAACGTGGGCTGTCTCCAGAGACTTTGACCGCGCATGACACAATATATTTTCTGTTTCCTCTTACAGGAATATAACAACCTTTTCTTTAAGAAGGAAATTTGTAATTTATGTCAGCCTATTATTATAGTCCTCACTGCTGGGGCACACGCCTTCCCTATGGTTGGAATAGGGAGATTGGGTCATAACCTACCACGACGATGGCCTGCGATCGTGCAAGTTAAGCAACTTTGGCAATGGTCGGTCATTGGATTAATTAGCAAAAACTTATAATTTCGAGCTCCTTCGTGCTTCGGAAGGCACGTTAAGCCATCGGGTCTGGCTGCATTTGCCGTCGTTAACACCCATCAATCCGCACTGCCATCCATAGGGAAGGCCTGTGGCCCAGCAGTGGGGCATAATTGTTTATATACCTAGCTTAGTCTTACTCACAAAATTTGTCAGAAATATGAGTTAATTAGGGCTGTAATTGTTTTTGCACTAATGTTATTTAATTATGTTGTGTGTAAAACTTGACCACGCTGTCGTCATCATTTTCTACCCTCTCTCTTTAATGTAATTCTACAGTGTTCCCACAGGTTCTCTCCTATCCCGTGGGAAAGGGAGCGCGTCATGGGAGCGAATTCAAAGTGCGTGGGAAAACCGGACGTCATTTGGTAGATAAGCAAAACTGTGATAGAATTCGACATACAAGTGTCCATTAGTGAAAAAAACTTTTAAAGTGTTTTACATCGCCTCAATTTTTTTATACTTAGTTGATTTAAATCTAAAGAAAATTTTACTAAATAAAGTTCCACGCGGACCAGACAGCAGACGGGAATTCAAAATCGCACACTCCGCTATCCGGGCGGATGCTCTGACCATTATGCTACCGTGACTTAATTGTTTGATTTACGTTTTTTTTCACAGCGTAACAAAATATTACATTCTGTGAAAATTTCAATCATCTTTTTTTTTATTATATTTACTTTTATTTAATATTTAAATTACAAAAGTTTAAAAGTAATTATTGTCTATACCTTAAAAAGAATTAACTACTTAAATAATATACAGCCTACAAAATAAAAAATATATCACCCATCTTACTTATTAGATAGTTAAAAATTTAGCCACGGTTTGTAAGCTGCTTCAGCTCGACTTATAAAAGAGTCTTGTGACGTAGAGTTCACTATTTTAACGCAAGGATAATGGCTTTATCCCGTTGTAATGGTACAAGACTTTTTTGTACGTAAATAAAGAGACAGCGGCACGGGATTCCCACCATTAGCAAATCCTGTTGTCAATCGTTCGTGCGAATCCTAGTTCCTTCACTATATTTGGTATACAATTTGCCCTCTCGAATACATTTCACGCATAAAAGTTTCCAGCAAAATCCTCACTATCTACCCCGTTCCGATATGAACTACATCTTTTATAGATACAAAGTACATTTTCCGCTGGCACTGCTGCAGAAATTTTCGAGTATGTTATACGCTACAGACTGAGAAATTTCATTTGAGGCGATTCCGCGATTTCCTTCCCTTGTTCCCTGAGGACAGGCCGTAGATTTATCACGGAAAATTCCCTTTTTTCGATTCTACTCTGTATCCGAATTTGTTGTATTACATATTTAGAGTTCCACAGTTCCATATGATTTGACGTAGGCATTAATGTTATCTCATTGCGAAATTATACCAAATCATACATATGAGTACTTAAACTATTGAAAGAGCGCAGTGGATAATCGTCTTAAGTTATCATTGTCTACCAACCACATTAAGATACGAGGCAGAATTTTAGTGAATCTTTATTTTGCATACCTACCTGATCACAAAGTTCTGTGCATGCCGTCAGACAAGGCCTGCATACAGATTTCAATATCGCCTCCAGGTCGCCTCCGTACTCTTAAGAAGTATTAGAAAAATATTTAGAAAAAGAATAGTTTATCTGAGAAAGTACCTAGTCTTGCCATAAATATTGTTACGAGGATAATTCTGTTTTTTCTACTACATATATAATTAGTTATTGTTTTATGTGTGATTGTATTCATTAATAATAATAATATATAAAAAAATTGTGAAGGTCATTCATAAAGATCTCCATTGGCTTTAATGCAGAACTATAAACGTTGAGGCCAGCTATCAATTGAAATACGCACCCTTCACTGCCAATGTTATGGATTGTATTAGTGACTCCAAATTATCATGGCGTTTAGAACATGCCATACTCTTTGAAAGAGAATATACATCATAAGCCAGTGGATTAAGATCGGGACTAGATGACGGTCCGTCTTCAGCTCTGATGAAGTCCGAAACGTTCGTTTCCAACCACGCTCGGGTGGATCGAGATTTAGGTCCAAGTACCGAGTTTTGCTAAAAGGACCATTCTTAGTTATGGGTCATAGTGTTAGGCTTAACTACCTTCCCATGAATCTTGATCTTGAATCGCATCTTGATACCCAAGTGCCTATGAGACCGTATTGACACCTTTTTCACAAAAATATGGCTCAGTCACTTCTTGAAAGCTAAACACCCCACCAAAACCATCACTGAAGTCGGATAATGTCCACGTAGTACTCTACTGACTAATTGGGGAGCTTCTTTAGAGTTTCAAGCATAAACTCGGTCATTCTGCGCTTGTTAAAACATTGCTCAACAATAACAAATTTTCTTGTTAGTAATTAACAAAATTAGTAGTAGTAGACATTAATAGTCCAGTAGTGGGGACATTAATAGGCTGATGATGATGATGATGAATTAAAAAAATTGTATGACCTGATGAAAAATCAATTTAACATCGAGTCCCAGAACACGAAAATTGCAAGAGTATTAAAACCAAGCCGATTTCATTTCTCTTGAGTACGAAATAAAATGTTGCCATAATTTGTATATCTAAAACACTATTTCGCATAAAGAACCACCATGATTTTATTTATTAAGAATCTCAAATACGACTAGTACCTTTAACGAGTGTCTGCCAATAACTCAATGGGTCTCAGCAACTCCAATATACACCTGTTTAATAGAAAACCAAGAATTTTTCTTTTCAATATCTTTATAAAACACTTTATTTTCTAGAATGTAAGGTGCAATCTCCTGAAGTTTGACAGCAAAGAAAATATTGTATAACGGACTACACGTGCTCTCTAGGGTGATATTGCGGCCCCCGCTTTTTGTTGTATATCATGTCGTAAAAGTATACAACTAGCTTGAACTTCGACAGAAAATATTATTTGAAAAATAATATTGAAAACTACTCGAGTATTTTGTTTTTCTTGTCCTGTTAGTTCAGTGTCTGTAACAGACTGGGGCAATGGTATTTATGTCATCTTCATCGAGATCACATTTTGAAACGAAATTCCTTTTCGGACGGTATGGCGGACCAGGAGAAAAATGCCGTCACAACTAGCAATTCAGCTAGTAGGCAGCTGAGTGATTATATGAACAAAGAGTTTACCCAAACAAGGAGGCTGTAACGTAACGGACGTTACAGTACCTAGGTGGGCTGCTAGGTGGGCGACCACTGACAACGAATCCTTCAATTTTATCGCGTTTGCGTTATAGTTAATTTTTGGAAATCCCACAGGAACCTTAAATTTTTTGGGTTAAAAAGTATTCTATGTCTTTTCCCAGGACTCAAACTACCTCTAAAGCAAATTTCAGCTTAATCGGTTTAGTGGTTTTAGTATGAAGAGGTAACAGACAGACACACTTATGCATTTTTATTATTAGTATTGATAAGAAAGGGAAAAGTTGTAATTGTAATTTAAATATGGGTGTACTAGATACTGTGCCTGAAATAAACATTTATGTTTACTAATATATTAAATTCTTTAATAAAGAACCAAAACAAATAATTAGGTGGTGGTGTGTTATTATCTATATCATACTAGTTTAAAAAATACTTCTCATTTAAATCCTAATTCAAAGCAAGTATTGACTAAATCTATTATTCTGTTTTTTGCAAAAGCAACAGTCTCTGCACTTAATCCTGTAACACTCATAGTTTCTCCCATTTTATTGAGATCAGTATCATTCATAGCATCTTTGATCTGTACAGCTTCTTCCGCTGTTCTAAATATCACACTGAGAACAAGAATAGCTGTCCCAAAATACTGCTTGGCATATCTTTTCAAATCAGCATCTAATTGATCCTTAGGATATATAAAGTTAGCTTTCATTCCAAAATAGTGCAATGCTGTGTCAAGTTGTTCGTGATAATAGTCAATCCATTCGTAAAAATGCTTAGATCTGGTCTCGTGATCAGTACAGTTAAAAATCATATAGAGGATATCGCAGACTGGATTAGATTCTTTTGATAGTTGGTAATCTATCATAATGCACTCTGTTATTTCGTTATTCTGGAAAAAAGAATAACGGTAATTTAATTTCTATTCAAACAATAAACTAGCTTTATTTCTCAGGAATTTATATTATCTCATAATAAATGTGTAAATCTCACCTGTAATTTAAACATTATGTTGTTTGTCCAAGAATCGCCTTGTTGGATAACAGAGTATTTACTATTAGCGTCAGCAATAGTCAATTTTTTTGTCATTATTGACATGTTTGTTATTGCTCCTTTTAAAGCATTTTTATATTTTACTTCAGTTTCTTCAAATATGGACATTACGTTATTTTCTAGTTGTTCTGACATCATTACAAATTCAGGCCTGTCAGATGTTTCAATCCATAAGTCTCTAAGTTTGTTTCTATACTGGTTATATACTTGAGGGTTGGATTTTTTCAACGCATGTGACAAAGAATGTAAAATAGCAAAATTTTTAAGTATCATCTTTACAGCTTCGTTTGGCAAGGATTGATATTTGTCCAACATTGAAAAGTCACGTAGCTTTAAATCTTCCAATAAAATTACTTCGTTCGGTGCTTCCGTATTGCACCCATAACATTCAGCGTATGTTATTGTTTCATCATCTGGTACACCCGCATCCTGTTGTAGTTTTTTTAGCATTGGTAATACTTCTTCATACATTGTTGACTCGTTATTGAATAATAAGTCTGCACTGTTGAAGGCTCTTATTTCTTCTATAGTGTTTGCTATTTTTGCAATCATTTGAAAATTTTCACCGTCTGGCACTTCGACTGTTATTCTTTTGACATTGCTAGCATAATTATCCCCTGCAAGTCCAACTGGTGCAAATGTTACTTTATTATTAATAAAGCCTCGTTTCTCCAGAACATCCCGAATAAACAGACACTGTTTATCACTCAGTTCTTTAAACTCGCCTTCGAATAATAATGACGCCATTTTGTTATTTGAACACCGACGGAATGAAACCGTTTTAAAAGTTAAAAACAGTTTTATAGTCTTGTTTATCAGTAATTATATAGAATTGATAGATAATATTAATTATATCATTATCATTAACCGATTATTAAATTGTCAAGGTCGAAACGGTAATTTACAATGTAATCATCAGATTCATAATCAAATATTTTACGTTACTCTAAGGTAAGTTAGTTTATTTATAGTTTTAATTGTAAATATTTTTTATACAACCAGGAAGGGAGTTCTTTGGCCACAATTTTAGGTATTAAGTACCTATGTTTACGATGAACAAGGTAATCGTATATAATATGGGATGCTTCCATTTTAATCCTCATCATCAGCCTATTACTGTCCCCACTGCGGGGTATAGGCCTGGATGGAATGGGGAGATTAGGCCATGACCCACCACGCGGGCACAGTGCGGATTGACGGGTGCTAACGACTGCAGATGCAACCGCGACCAACGGCTTAACATGCTTTCTGAAGCACGGAGGAATTTGAGATAGAAGATTTTTGGTCACCCATCAAATGACCCACTACTGCATAAGTTGCTTAACTTCAAGGATCGCAGCCGAACGCGCTAACCACCCGCGCCATCGAGCTCCTCGATCGACCTCATTCAAACAAGGTAATAAATTATTCTTATCTAAAGTCTGGGTCCTATAAAGAGCAAAAACGCTATCAGGTTAGATAACCCTTATTTCGAACTACCTTTTACATCAAAGAACGTTTGATTGATCTTATTCCAAATTCTTTATTAGGCTACTACAAAAAATATCACAAATCTTATTTAAACCAGATCATGTACGATCTGCGATGCATCTTAATTAAAAGTCGCTATTTCTTCTAACCAAAGTATTGCATTACGAAAGGTTATTTTTATTTTATACATTCCTATGAATAACATAAAAAAATACTAAATTCTACAAGGACAGCTATCTCCACATCCTGGTTCGAAGATATAAATATGAAACGAAGTACCTATTAATTGCAAATTTCATACTAAAAAAACAGATGATTATCTTTTGGATTCTTCAGTTATATTCATGCGATTCAACGAATGCTAGATAACCAACCAATCGAACTGTAAAGCGTAGTATCGCTTTAACTTTACTTTAGAATAGTCAGCTAGAGGTTTACGAACCTGCCCAACATACCCCGAGTTCATTCCGGCGGTGTTGACGTTTAATACGGTCCTTTATAATTACAAGGTAGTTGAACACGTCGACGCAGACGCCAACGCCCCTAATGTTGTATGCACTTAACAGTTCGGCCACAAAATCAGCGTATTATAATCGCAATAATTCGAATATTCAATATGTTTTAAGCAAATCTTAAACTTATAAAGTATTGGAACATCAAAACTGATTTTTTAAATAGTAATTTAGGATTCTTTTGTTAAAAAAGCAACAGATCACACGACCTGCAAGTTGGCTTAGAAGTTAGCCAGTTCATATTAGATTGATATAGATTTTCATAACATTTTGATGAGACGTTTGAACCGCATCGAACCGTACGTGACTTAAAGTATTATGTAGTATTAGTAAAAGTAAAAAGAATAAAACACACAAATATTGAAAAGTTAAAATAAATAAATACGTACTCTTATTTTCGAACTTATTGAAAAGTAGCACCATGACGTATAAATCCGGTATCTCGTAGCACCATGTCGTTTATATCCAGTATAATGTGTATTTTTTTAATAGAACTACTACTTAGTTGGGTGTGAAGTGCTCAAATAAATATTAAGTGATTCAAGTCTACTAAAAAGCAGCATGGCATATATCTATCCTACTATTCCATATTTCTTTGGTTAAAAGGATGGCAGACAAGCTTATGGTCCGCCTGAAGACCACCATAGCCTATAGACGCTTGCGATACCCAAAATATCACATGCGCCGTTGCCTATCCTATCGTGACCGCATCCCCTACCCAGAAACACAACACCACCAAAAAGCTGTACGGTGGAGGTTGCTTCCCCAGACGGGCGCTCCAGTTCGAGCTGAAGATCCGCTTAGCCCTGCCTTTCTTAAAAAACTGAGTTATAAGTAGTTCAGATAAAAAGATAAAGCTGGTTGGGAAAACTACCGAGTTCCTGCTATTTTCGTGGCCACACCATAAGTACACATGGGTGGACCAGTGAGAGTGCTCACGTGGGACTCCTGACCCACAAAGCATGCTTAATTAAATTGTTAATCACTTCAACTTAATAGAATACCGTTAAGAAGGCTATGTCTTATTAACTGCTGTTGTTATTTTTTGACACTTAATATCTCGCTCTTAATACGCCGTAATAAGAGTATTTTCTTTGAACAAGTTTAGTCATTGTCCTTTGTGGTCTGACTGTCCTATAGGTTGTAAGTTTTGAATGAAGAGGACCGGTATTATTAGATAAATAAAAAAGTAGGGTCATGTGGGGGCAGTGTAACAAGGGGCACAGTGTAACATAAGGAATATACCTGTTTTATACCCGGTCATTTAACGTCTGATGGCAGCTGTTTAAAGGCGCTATCCCACGATCTGTGTTGTTGCGAGTGAGGCCGCGCCGCGAAAGGTTGTGGTATGTTGGGTGATGGCGGCAGGTTATAATAAATACAAAGACGTAGATAGGTTGGTGTCCATTTATTGAAGAAGGCTTAATGGTACAAAACATACTTATTTATAATATTAGTGCACTACGTAGTTACACACACACACACACTTATAAAATATAACACACAATATTATTACAAAACATCAGCATTTCACGTGGCCTACTTTCGTGTCATTCAATGTTGCGTTGTATTATTAATACATATTTATTAAATTATTTTCATACTATCACACGCCCCCCAAAAATCTCCATTACACCCCTCTCCTCAAAAAATAAAAAAAAGTGTTACATTTTTTTTTTCAACCACATACATTCAGCTAAATATTATCATTATAAAGTTTCGTATTATTCTTATGTACTACGTACTCTCTATTATTTTTTAATATCTTTACATTAGGTGACAATTCCTCTATTACTTCATAAGGGCCGTTATACACTCTATCTAACTTATCTCTTATTTGATTTTTTACCAAAATTAAATCTCCTTTTTTATATGATATCGGGTAGCTATTTTTATCAAATGTATTTTTTCTACATAATTTATTAGTTAATAAATTTTTTCGCGCATCACACAGTGCTCTTTGTAGTCTATGTCGAAGTTCCTTAGGATAGTCATCATAGTTATATAAGGGAGTTACAGAGTCACTTAAGTTACTAGGTAAAATACAATTTTTTCCAAACACTAGCTCGTAGGGAGTATATTTTGTTTGCGTGTGTACCGAGGTGTTGAATGAGAAACACCAGTACGGAACCCAACTACTCCAATTGCTTTTGTGACTCTCACATTGTATTCTTAGAAAAGTGCCGAGATGTTTGTGAGTATTTTCTAATGATCCCATAGTTTCATGGTGATATGCGGTGGACTGTAATTTTTTAATACCTAATAAGCTACATATTTCGGTCATAATTTCGTTAAGAAATTCTGTTCCCTGGTCTGTAATTATTTCTTTTGGGATTCCATATCTAAGGATAAAATTATTTACAAAAGCTCTCGCTACTGATTCGGCGTCTTTGCGCTGCAAGGGATACGCTTCAACGAACTTTGTTAGGTCGCACTGTAGAGTTAGTATGTACCTATGATTGTAATCGTCAACTTGTAAAGGTCCCATTATATCTAAACTAATTCTTTCGAAAGACGAATTAGGGGTAGTCGTTAATGACATAGGTTCCTTAATGTATCTATTGGTGTATTTATTTATTTGACAAAGCTTACATTTATTGACATAATTAACGACATCCTTTGTAATGCCTGGCCAAAAATAGTATTTTTTAATATTGTTTAGCATTCTATTTATCCCAGCATGCCCACTGGTGGGCAACAAGTGGAAGTCATTTAATATAACTATCTTTTCGTCCTCATTTCTGATACGCTTAACATCTTTAGTTATCAATAATCGCGGCCGACTCAACTTTAATTTTTTAATTGTACTTGCAAGTACCTTAATATGTCCTTCATATATTTTATTTTTGATAATAAGCAATTCTAAGATATTTAACTTACTACAAAAACTCTCTAAATCTCTCGCTAACGCTTCTACAGCTGATAGCGATCGAGCATTTAGATAAATTATTGACCGCTTTGGTACATATACACAATATCCACTTGAGGACGTAAAAACTTCGTCGTTTCCGTCATATTTGACCGAGTGACTAAAACATAATTCGATAATATCCGGTGGTGGCTTGAGAATTTCCACGGCCAAGGGGTGATCAGTCCCATGACTATGCAAATTTTCAGGCTTACTATAATTCTCTAAGTCACAGTTTTCATTACGACTATTTTTTTTTGTTTGTGCTCTAGTAAGTACTGATACTAAGTGTTCACGCATATTTTTTAAATCATCCGATGTCATCGGGATGCGACTCAATGCGTCTGCAGCCGCGTTGTGTCGTCCTGGGACATAGCCTATCTCAAAATCATATTCCTCTAAATATAAACGAAATTTAGTTTGCCTACTGGAAGGATCTGTCATAGAAAATAAATAAATAAGAGGCTTGTGATCGGTTAGAATTTGGAATTTCCTACCATATAAATAAGGTCGAAAATGCCTCACTGCCCAAACTATGGCTAATAGCTCCAAGTCTATAATCGGATATCGCGTCTCAGCGGGCTTTAAACTTCTACTTGCGTATGCAATAACTCTATCATTCCCATTGGATAATATTGCACCTAAACCTGTTCTTGAGGCATCAGTCTGCAATTTAAAAATATTATTTTCAGAAAAATCGGGATAATCCAAAACTGGGGGTTTTATTAAAGCAGATTTTAATTTTTTGAATGCTTCGTCACAATCAGCTGTCCAATTAAATGCAACATTCTTTTTACAAAGTTTATTTAGTGGATGTGAAATTTCAGCGAAATGTAAAATAAATCGTCTATAATAGTTAGCGAAGGCCACGAATCTTCGGACC